CTCGACGAATGCTTCAATATGAACGACGCTCAAAATCAACTCGAGATTGTCAACGTGAGCGTACTCAAAATCCGATCACTCCACATGGTATGGGTGCTATTAGGCATGGAACTGATATGATTAATGATGGTTTTTCTACCATGAGTATAAGTGGAAGTGGAAGTGAACACCATAATTATGGTTCGTCGTCTTCATATGGTTATGGTTCTGGATATGGTATTCCCTCATATGATTATGGATGGGTATGACACACGAGGAGACGAATATGGATCCTCAACATATGGTTATGGATCTGGCTATGACTCCCAGACATCCTCCTCATATAGACAAGATAAAGATTGGTCAGGGACTGGTGCATTCGTTCCCCAACAGATTGGATGTAGTGTTGCAGACTATCAGAGGTTTGGGAGAGAATATAATTCATATTATCGTAATAATATGAGTTGGAGTAACTATTGTCATCATATTTATGTCACATATAGAGTTTCTCTAAGTAGCTACCCAGAGCCTACACCAATGTATGAGCCTGCTCGACACTCCACAGGGGGATGGATGTAGCCATATAAGTATGTACTCATTAGCATTTCATGTGTATTATGAGATCTTAATATTATATAAAAATGTGTTTATTTGATAAAAATTTAAGTGTTTAAAACTAATTTAAGTGATTTTCGCCTCATGTCAAGTCTTTTTTTCCCTCCAATTTAAATTTATTCTTCTATAAATGGATGTTAAGTCAATAAATATGTTGAATTAATCAATTATTTAGCTTATCTTTATAGATATAGATTAATAGATTGTATTTGTGTTTCCACGCGTTTCCATATTTTTTCCGCGTTTCCATTGTATTTCCGAAACGTTTCGAAAATTTAGATGACCGAAACGGTACTTCGAAACGAAATTTCGATCCTTGCCAATATGTAAACATAATAAATAAAATGTTAGTTTTGACAAATGAAAAATATATAGAGATGACAATCAAAATTGGTAAAAAGGATGTTTTGCTAAGAGATCAAAAGGGATCTATCAATGTCCAAAGAGGGCATTCAAGTGGCCCAAGTCTAATTTGCCATGCTTGTTAAGCTCATAAATGGTATGACCAAGAAATAAAATACAAGTTGTGAAGCTAGATGTTGTCTAGGCAACGATTCTGATGGACCTCAAATGTCAAAAAACCATAGTTATCAAATCGTGTATCGGAAGGCGTATCATTTTTTAAAATAGTATATCATATCGTATATCGTAAGATACGGCGCAATTTTAAATAAATAATAATAAAATATATATACCTTTGAAAAAAAATCATAGACTTATAAAAACATAACATTTCATTAATACTTCACCAATTATTCAAGTTAGATAATAAATTAACATCATTTCTTATAAAAACATATTTCACTGGAGTTGCTGGAGAAGGAAGAAGAAGGCAGCTGCGATCCAGAGGCAACGACTGGCTTGGCTGCTTCGTCGTCAAGAACAAAAAGAAAAGAGGGGCTAGGGTTCATCGATTGAAGAATAGAGAAAAAAGAGAGCACCCAAAAAACAGCGAAGACAACGAAGAACACCCAGAAGCTGCTGTGCTTCATCGTCGTGAAGATTGAAGAACACCCTGAAGCTCAGCTGTGTTTCGTCGTGCAGAACACCCGGCTAGAAGACAGCGAATACAATGAAGATGGAGAGAAAAGGGAGATTTTATTTTTTTCGTAAACCCTAGCCACTGAAACGACGTCGTATCAGTGGCTATAGGGATTAAAAAATCAGTCTCCTTCAACAGAAAATGACGTCGTTCAAGCCAAAAAAAAAAAAAAAAATTAAACAACCTTGCGCGTATCGATACGTACCATAAAAACTTATCGTGTATCAAACGATACAACGCAAAAACGATACAAAACTACGATTCATATCGGACGATCTCTGTATCGTACGATATATATCGCGTATCGTACAATATTAACAACAATACAAAAAACTAACAAAAGAAAAAACTGACTGTTTTCTCCCTTAGGCCCTTATGTATAATGAAGGAAAGCTGATGGGAAAGAAAAAGGTAAAGGAAAGGCAAATTGCATCCTTTACTCTGTCCTATTTAAATAATACAGGTGAAGTTCTGTTTCTTGCAAAAAAACTAAATAACATAATTGAAACATTTTCCACTGATTATAAAACAAGAAATAAGAAAACGAAATGACACGCTACATCATAAATTTCCTCTTACTTTCCCTAATATAATTGTTTCTCCCTTAAATTTCTAGCGACCAAAAAAAAAAGAAAATTATTTTCTTTATATTCTCTTTTCCATACCTCGGTAAATCCACCAAATGAAATGGAGCATTAAGGTTAGTGTCAAAAATGCAAACTTGAATTTAAATTGAAACAGAGCCTAATTGCATGAATACTAAGTGTTCAAAATACTCAAATCAACAAAACCTCGAATAAATAAGATAAAATGCATTTTATCTTTACTAGTTGGTGGTCATTTAATAGAGCACTTGGATCATGTTACACGATCCGGTCATAATGACTTTGTAAGTACTACATACCGATCTAATGCTATAGTTCATCTAACTCCACATACTTTTTTTTTTTTTTTTTGGAGGGGGAGAGGAGAAGGGGGCTTAAACCATTGACCTCAAGAAAGCAAAGCTTTCACAAAGTAAGAAGTACCATTAGACCAAAGGCCCATTGGTCATACTTGCTATAAACCAATACCATATAATATTGGGTATTAAATAATACTCGATCTGACCGATCCTAAAAAAAAAATAAAACTTGATCATAGACCCAAATAACGAAAAAATAAGACTTGATCAGTCTTAATATCAAAAATGACAGAACTGCTCTGATAGGCCAAGAGAGTTATGCATTAAGTGTGGGATGTTTTCGTCTTTTTCAACTTAACACGTGGTTTCTCTCATCCAAACATGTGATCTAGATTAGGATGGCAAACTCACGCTTGATCAAAACCTTAACCCCAATACGGCATAACTGGTATGTAATAAAATTGTAAATCCATTATTAACACTCGTATGAATTAGATTGGAATCAATTGTCCAATCTCATCTCATGTTATATTTGAACCAAACATGCCCTACACTCCACTTCTCTCTACCATATGTTACACTAGCACACCAATATCATATCATTCCACTATCTTTAGCATTAATACACCACTAACACAGACCCCTAAACCACTTTAAATACAACAAACTTCCACCAAACTAAGACAATTTAATAGTATAATACAACTACTAAAAATCAAATTTAATTTCCACCAGCATCGTCACCGATAGTTGTGGGTGTTTATTTCCACAATTAACATCAACGACTATGCACATAATTCTGAAGTATAGAGAGATTATGCGCAATTCAATAAAAAACATATGGAGTGGATATGCATTTTACTAAAAAGATAAAATCCCTCAATTATATATTCACATGCATATATAAAGTTCAATTTGAGTGTTATACCGTTGGGCAATGTCCTATAGCAGTTCGTCGATGCCAAAGTATTCAAAATTGACTTCAAGTAAATGCCATCTGCTCCAACCAATGATGTGCCTACACATGCTCTCAAGATCATAGAGCATGTAAAACAGAGCCCCAAAACTATGAATGTTTATGACTCTCCACATTGTCGAATCTTTACATATACTCTGTCACGCAATACACACACTCTATACGTGTGTCAATACGTCTATGGATCGCACCTTATGGAGTATCATGGCCAACATGTCCGGTGGAAGTTCTAGCTAGTTAGGTGTCGACTCGGTTGGCTAGTGGTGGGGTTATGGTTGGGTTATGAGAGGTCATGCATGTGGGAAAGTTTGTTGTTTTGAGGGTTTTCTAAGAAAGAGCGAGACTAAATGTAGACTGGGAGTAGTAATCTATAATACAAAGCAGAACATGTTTTAATAAACTCATCCGAATGTCTCAAATAGACTTAATGGCCACCAATAACTCTCAAAAATCTAAGTTAATGTTGCATCGTACCTTCAAGCACGGATTACCTTTATAGTTTATATACATGACCGAGAAGTCTCCCAAACAGTTTGCCACTAGGCATGCAACCTGCCCAATCCCCGCCCAACTCATCATATGTCATTTGGCTCGTTAAGTCCAGTGAATTGACTCGATCAAGGTCTATGAAAAACCCATCCAATTGACCTACATGATGCAAAAGAACTTAAACATATGCTAATATTTTTAAAAAGAGCAATGCTATTGGGACCTAATTTACCGACATAATTTACTGACTTAATTCATTGTGACTTTTGGATTCCCTATAGACCCCATCAAATATTGAAATTTGGTGTTGATTTAATGATTCCTATAAAGTCACATCCTTATGTCAATAAATTATGTCAGATTTTTAAGTCCAAATAGTATTACTCTTTTAAAAAATATCTATTAAGACTAGACAGATGAACACCGGTTGCTAAAGGTCTATGATTATTGATCAGGTGAATGTGTATCATAATATTATGGACGGATTAGTTGGGCTTGTGCTCGTCCTAGGTAATTGAAGCGCATGCCTGATAAGATTGATCGTTGCCAACAAGTGAAATTAAAATGAGTTGCAAGGATTTTGGAATCAGCCCGTTACCTCACTTTCCAAGGGCGAATTTGAGAATTGGGTTTGTTGGAAATTTTTTTGGGAGGATAACTCTAGTGAGTGGGCAAGGCATTTATTTTCATCAAATTACTGAATCCTACATTTATCTCGTACGTTTTAGAAACTCTTGAATTACATCCGAATGCTTACAGTATTGTGAATAAGTTTTGTAATAGGAAAAAGTTCATACCTTCAAGATTTGGAAGTTGATAACGAAGACTATGGAAGCCGAGTAAATTGTGAATTAATTTGAATCAACGATTAGTTGCGTTTTAGGAGGGCATTAACATATAAGATTGTGTGCATATTCCTGATGTACATGAAGATTATATGTAACTCAATCAATGCAAAGAGGAGCAAATATGCAATTTAGACCAAAACAAAAACCCTAAATTATAGATTGAAATGCATATATATCAAATTCAAATGGGGTGTTATACCGCTCGGCAATGTAGTGGAGCAATTCATCGGTGCCGAAGTACTCGAAATTGACTTCGACTAAATGCCCTTCGCTCCGATCAACGGCGTGCCTACACATGCTCTCAAGATCATACAACATGTCGAACAAAGCCCCCGAACTGTGAATATCTATAACTCTCCACATCGCCGGGTCTTTGCATAGTCTCCGCCAAGCAGAACACACACTCTGTACGTTCATCAAAACGTCTATGGTTCGCACCCTGTGGAGTATTGTGGCCATCACGTCCATTGGGAGATCGAGCCAATTAGGGATCGTTTCGATCGGGAGTGGGGTTCGAGAGGTCGATGCCATGTCTGTTTGGATGATTTTCTGGGAAAATTTGTTGGCTTTTTATAGGGTTTTCAGAGAAAGCAAGACGAGGTGGAGAGGAGTATTTTATTGGCTTGAGAGAGAACTCAAAAGTCCCGGTAAAATGACCCAGCCCGGCGACCCGCTGGCTATTAGCCTGCCCAGCCCACCACACCGGGTGGGGTTGGCTCGTTATGCCCCGCGAATACACCCTACTAAGGTCTGCGGGCAAAATAAAAATTCATGTATTAAAACAACTAAAAGGAAGACGTGTTTGCCTTTCATGCCAGAGTAATTCAATTCGATTGTGATCTAATTCTACGCATATATATTGAAATCAAGTGCTTACTAATGAAATTGAGATTAACTTAGGATTTAATTTACTAAAATTTAGATGTAATTGTCAGAGTTTCTCCACAGTCAAAAAAATTATTAAGTTGAAGAGAATAATCGAAAAATAATCATCAAAACACTTCGCATTTTGCGAATAGTTAGTGAATAGGTTTATCAACAATTGAATTCGGATCGTATTTAGAGTGATCTTAATATTTGGGAACTTTGATTCGAGAACTTAAAAATTTCTGTGTGAATTTGATTCGATTATTTAAGGAATTTTATTTTTATAGTTCATAAATGAATAAGTTATTCCGATTGAATTCTTGAATCAATTGGCATTAAATTTTAAAATAATTAAATTTTGTTATATCCAAATATAAATTCACAAAATATGAGATAACCTATTCGAACTTAGATTGTTGGTGAAAATGCACCCAAAAAAATTTCAATTATTGGTCCGCCAATGCCCCCCGCCCCTCCCTCTACCCCTATAAATATTTGTCGTAGAAATGAAATCTATTATATAAGTATACAGATTTGAAATCTACTCTAATGTGATCCGTTAACAAACCTAGTTTAGATCAACCAAAAAATTGTTGTTAATCAAATTGTTGCCAGGAAACGTAGTCCTGAAGATCCTTTCACTATTAACTCTTCTTATTTTTGTTTCCACCAAGCGACAAAGCCTCACTCCAAATTGATTTATTTGTCTTCTCATCTCATCTTGCTTAAAAGGGCCATTAAGCCCTCTCACATTCCAACATAAGATATCTATCATTTAGGTTTGGGACTAGGAGGAGTTCCCAACCCCTCACGAGTTACCACGAGGCTACTGTTAACTTGATTCTTAACCTTTCCCCTTGCTTTCCTATTTTTCTTCCTATAGAGGTAGTCATTACCTAGCCAATTTCATCAACCACCTTGATTTTGTCTAGCATGGTACTTGGTTCAGGTGATTCAAATCACTAGTATCAATTTCCTCCCCTTGAGCAATAGACTCTAATGCTTGAAATTCATTTGGGGAAGAGACTAGTCCACTGATAGTACTAGGGCCTGTTTGGAGGTCAATAGTAAGCGGGCCACGCTTCTCTTCATATAGTATCACCTTCCCTTTATCTTTGGCTTTCTACCAAGACTTAATATTTCCTCTCCTTTGCAAGATCTATACAGCCACTTCGAATTCCAACTTTCCAGAGTCTGTAAGAATCTTTGGATAACTATGACCAAACATCTTACATTGGTCACATCTTAAGGGTTTCCATTGGTATTTTACTCTAATTTTTACTGATTCAATATCCCCTCCCTTTCTCCTTCCATCAGTAAATCAAATGTTTCTAGGAATGGCTCCTGGGCATCAACTTCGATGCAAATTCTCGCAAAGGAAGTTATATTATCTTCTTTAGTGAGTTTATCCATATAAAGTGGTTTGCCACTACATTTGGCTATGTAACTGAAGCCCTTAGGCATCTAGTATTTCATGAGGAATGTTGTAAAATTTTACCCCTATAAGTATCTTCCTCAAAGCTTCCTTATGCCTAGGCTGGCCTCCCATGTGTTGTGCTCCACCTTCCAATACTTCATTCCGATTACTTATACTTGAAAATCTGAGGAAATAAAAACTCTCCTGGTTCGCAGTGACCTCAAACAAACGGTTGACACCTTATGAAGGGGGTTGCTCCCATAACTACACGTGTGGCATTAAATGAGCCCACGTGAGGTCAACAAGACAAGACAAATGACGAGGATATCAGCTACTCGGTCAAATGGTCCTAGCCGAACTAACCATATGGTTCAGCAAAGCAATGAAAGAGCTCGACTTTTACCAACCGAGCTGATCAATGTGTTCGGCAAGTATCAAAAGTGTTTGGCTCTCATTATGACTAGATGTTCGAAACAGTAGATAGAAAGATAAAGATAAGTCTTTAACGTAGGCATTCTGAATAAACGAATCAACGAAATTGCAGATGTGAGGAGGAATTGTTGGAGAAATATCAGTAATTTTCCAAACTGAATCACTCAATTGAAAGAAGGTGTGCCACCTTGAATCAAAAATCACGAAAACCCTAATGGGATAACCATCTATAAAAAGCAAGAGAAATCAAGGTGAAAAGTATGTTGAACTCTCATTTTATTCTAGCAATTGATTTAAAATCTTTACTGACTTAAGCATCGGAGTACCTTCGATCAAAGCGTTTTGATCTTGGGCAGTTTGTTTGTTTTGCACAAAGAAGATTGGGAGATCAAGTTCAGAGACATTTCTTACCAGAAAGATCAAATTCGTTGTGAGAGGTATCGATAATTTTTTGACTCTTACATTTTTGGCGCCATCTGTGGGAAGATTTTCATCATTCGCAACGAAAAGCTACGATGTCAAGACTGAGAAGTGCAATTGGATCTCCTAGAGGTAGTTTTGCCTTGGAAAATTCTGATCCACTATCACTCCCATCTGGCAACAACATTAGATTACAAGCCAACAGAAGCCCATCTAGACCTCACGAAGATGATGAGGTATCTTCAGCCAGTTTCAAACCATCCAGAGATCAAAATCAGTAGATTGTAGGTCGTGGAGAATCCTTTTGTGCCGAGGGGAGAACCACTCTTTGGCAAAGCTGGTCCAATCCCTGTAGGAGAGGCTTGATGCACACAACAAATTATTTAAAAAATCTTACGCTAGGGAAAGGGACCTGATAAAGGAGAATGAAGAGTTGAAAGCCAGGTTAAAGGACTTGATAGAAAAGAGAAGCGTGACAGGGACAGCCGACAAGAAAGTCCTAAGAAAAAACATGACAGAACCAAGGATGCTAGGGATGATAAGTACCAGCAGAAAAGACCTTGGGTTTCAGAGGAAGACTCATGGAAGCAATACATTACCGAGGAACTCAACAACTGCCTGAAAAAGCCAGAATAGAGGTCGGCTAGGAACCTAGCTAGGAGAGCGATAGGGGATTCGGGAACAACACAGAGTCATCATCCTTCACTTCATGGATTGAAAGGGGGCAAATCCCAAGCAAGTTTATCATCCCGAATTTTAGACTTTACGACGAAAAAACTGACCCAGCCTCACACATCAGACATTACAGACAGTTGATGACAGTTCACCAGAGGAACGAGCCACTACTTTGCATCATCTTTCCTAGCAATCTTGGGGAGTCAGCCATGAAATGGTTTGACAGTTTGCCGAAGGAGTCGATAGATGGATGGTTGCAACTGGTCAAGCAGTTCACGGCTCGGTTCATTACGAGTAGTAAGTAGGCAAAGGATGTTGGGGGTCTACTGACGTTGAAGAAGAAGCATAATGAAACCTTGCAAGAGTACGTTCATCGCTATTGGAAAACGATGAATGAGGTCGAAGGATGTAATCCCGAAATCGCAGTGGCATCCTTCAAAATCGAATTACCAAAGGAGAACCCTCTGTACCAATCATTCACCAAAAGACCAGCCACTGACCTGGAAGAATTAATGGCAAGGATTGAAAAGTATGCCAAAGTCAACAATGACTTATCTAGAGATGTAGTTAAAGAAAATCATGGTAGAAGACAGTTTGGTCAAGACAAGCATATCGAGCCGAGTCACGAGGGCGAAAGGAAGAATGAGAAGGAGGGCTATCCCTAGAAGTCCTTTTTCTTGGCTAAACACACTTGATATACAAGATCCTGAACCAAGTCAAGGTGCAACCGTTCTTCAAGTGGCCTAACAAGCTAACTAGAGACCCATCAAAAAAGAATCCAAACTTCAGATGTCCATATCATCAGGATGTAGGTCACATGAAAGAGAACTGTCGTTTTTAAAGTAGCATTTGGAAGAGCTGGTCCAGGCAGGACATCTCACCGAGTACATCAAAGGTGGAGCAAGAACCGACGGTGGCAGGACCTACCCCAAAGGAGATCACAACAACACTCGGCTGGGATGATTGATGTGATCCACGCTGCAACAAATCCGTAGATGTCTACAACAACTCTGCTAGGGCGTATATTCAGAAAGCTACCAAGAAGAGAGAGTCTATGAGTTGCGATTGACCCTGGAGGTTATGAACAAAAGAATTAAGGTGGAGACAGCCGAGACCATCTATTTCACCGAGCAAGATTTGATCGAAGTTCATCACCACACAACGACGCTTAGTCGTTACGCTTCGAATTGTTAATTACAATGTGAGAAGAGTTTTGATTGATCTAAGGAGTTCCTCTAAGATCATGTACATGGATCTCTTCGAGAAACTCGGTCTTAGAGAGGAAGATCTTAAGCCCTTAAATACTCCACTTATAGGCTTTAGTGGTAAATAGTTCTTCCTAGGGGGAAGATCACGCTGCCTGTAAAGACTGGACTAGTTTGTATCATGACTGAGTTCCTGGTAGTGGATACGGTCTCGGCTTACGATGCCATAATAGGGCGGTCCTGGCTACACGAGATGAAGGCGGTACCATCAACGTACCACCAGATGCTAAGGTTCTCTACATCTGAAGGGTAGTGAACATCCGAGGAGACTAGATCCGTTCCAAAACTTGTTTATTGGCCTCGGTCAAAGCCAAGGACGGAGCAGAGGTTCAAGAAAGGGATTCACTAGCCGAGGAAATGAAATAGCAATCAACACATGATGGCTCAGTCATTTCCACCAATCAAGTTGTCACAAAAAGCCCTAAAGTACCTTTAGGCACAGAAAAATAAGTTACTAATCAAATAGTCAAAGA